TGGCCGTGTCGGGTGTTGGAGGGTTACGACACATTAATAAATAACGTGATCTAACCCAAAAACCTTTATTATGAAGACTATTGTCCATTCATTTATTTTATGGACATATAAACTGAGTTTCAATTACTGTCATTGTCAAAAATGTTACCCTATAATAGTCAAATCTATTTTTGGTAAAAAAACAGGATTAAGGAAAAAATACATTATCGCCAAAACATCCAAGCAGGACCTTCTTAAAAATCTGTATAAATATTCAACAAGACATCTTTAAAAGATAAATAAATAATCATACATTATAATTTTTTTCATTATGTGCCTTTTAATAAATTTTAAAGCCTCCTTATAGAAACCATACCATCACCATAATCAGAATTTGCAAATTACACTCTCCTGGTCTCTCATGTTCTCACCTGGTAAAACAAATAAACTTAATTTGATTATTTGGTCCACAAAATATCATCTTAAACGAGTACCGTTTTTTTATATTCTTGGTTCTTTCGGTAAAGTCACGTAGAAGGGAAACAATAAAATAATACAAATATAAAACAATACAATTCTCACGACGTTTCGACTGCAACACAAACAATCATCATCAGGTGTGAAAACCACAACAAGAACATTTGAAAAAAAGCTTTAAATCAAAATTTGAGTACCGTTTTGTTAGGTTTTAATAGTAGTTGTCCTGTGAGACATTGGCACTGACCATGGGAAAGTGGAATGTCTACCCCAACTCAGCATTGTAAATTTGCTTTCCTGCTGTTAGTTTGAGCATGGATAAACTTTTATCATTTATTAAAAAAATATTCTCGATTATTATATGCTCATCTTGCCAAGCCAAGCGGCAGCCACTTCATCAGCAGTGTGGAGAGCCCTGTCGACAATGTGCAAGTCAGTCTGTCGCTGCCAACATCCACAAAGACAGTTGTAACGTTGGCCCCAGGTGTGCAGATTGGCTGCACATGGACCCTGACCGGTACCAAATCTGCTGCACAGCATCCATGACAGGTGTGGCAGTTCGAAGCCAGTTTGACCAAGTGGGATCAGCGATGAGGAAGTGGTTCTCAATGGCTTTGGTGGACCGGTCCTCTCACTACATCGATGCCACGAACGAGTTACAGTGTGGCATGTTGGTCAACATGGGGTGGCTCGATGATGAGTGGGCTCGTGCAGGGTTGAAGATATCAAGATTTAGTAGGAGTCTTGTATTTGCATAAATCTTCACCATCTTGGCCGCTCCTTCCTCATGCCAAATGTGAGGAGGCGCCATATTACACAGCACCAGCAGCCAAGGTAGTTGAATGGGTCATAGCTACATCCCTGTGATGGTGCGCAAAATTGACGTTGGATGTCAACCAGCTTTGTGTGTGAAAGGCAGAAGGCGACAACAGCTGTGTGAAGCGTCATATAATATAATCAATACGAATAAATAATGCCACATTTTCACAATGACAATTTATGTTTAAAAAAAACCTCCAAAACAAATGTACACGTTCTGTCAATGTTAATTGAATTTCTACTTTCCTGTTACCTAATGGCTGGTTGTTTTGCTTTAGTTATCCACTTTGGCAGGTTTTAAGCCTCTCGATTAAAAAGCAGCGTCTCATTCTGTTAATGCTCACACTGCACTCAGTAATAACATGGTAAAATACGGACAAAGCTGGATTCGTGTGAGGTCACACAATGTAAAGTCGAAACTTTAACAAATTAAAACACCCCACGCCACCCAAAGGATCAACCTTCATTCTGCAATGGTCAACAAAAAGTGATCTCACCGTTTTTTTTTACAGAGTACAGACATCAGAAGTTTCCAGTGAAGTAAGTGAAAACATAAAGGTTGTTCAAGACACCATACAAGTGACTTTCACTGTAATATAAATCCTGTTGATGTGAAGGTCTCATAAAATCTGGAACAGATCATTTTTGCCTTTCACAAGGACTGAAAGTTTGAACCTAGAACATGTGCTGTTAACTATTAAATTAGAACAAGGGCCAAGTCTCTTCACTGCTCGATCATTTTGCATTTCTACATGTTTTGTAAACTAATGTTCAATTGGATACAATACTTAATTACATTGTCTCTACATTAGCGTTTTTCACAAGTTGTACTTGTGTTTTAAACTGTCAGTCTTGTCTATATGGTATGCAGCGTATACATTTCACAAACATTTCATGATTCACCACTGCCATGACTGTAGGATTTCCATCTGCACAGGGTCTGCACCTAAATGAGCAATGATCCACATTTGGCTCTGTAGAGATTTTCACTAAACTTATTTTTACAAAATTAGTAACATTCATTTACAGTATTTGACTGCTATTAATCTCCAAATAAGTCAGTTCATTGAGCTGTGTGGGCAAGTCGCTGCTGAAAAAGATCTATATAGCTCAGTGGGCCTCACCTGGTAAAATAAAAAGTTTATTTTAGTAATTTATGGTGGAGCGGCGGCACAGCGATTAGCACATTGCACTATGATGACAGTAACCTGAGTATGATTCCTGGCCATGTCGAACATTAGTGGGGAGTGATATCTAAACCTGTCTTGACCCCCCTTTCACCAAACTACGACTAAAATAATGTGGGGAGGCCTTCATCAAGCAGTGAACTGTTAAAATGCTGTACATATTATATTACATTTTTGGTGACATTCATACAATGTAATTTGTCCCAAATCTCACTGCAATATAAACACTTTCTCCATGGGCCCTCACCTACTCTTAAAGGGTTGATTGAATGAACACACATGGTGGCAGTGGGCAAGTGGTGCCTAACTGTAGACTCACTATTTCCATAGCTAACATCAAATTTAAAATTGTATTAACTGGGCGGGTCGGTTTCTACTCTGACTGCTAACACAAACCCAATGGAAATATCACATTTCAAGAAATTGATTGGGCTTACATCCAACAATGAAAGCGTCTCACGTTAAGTTTTTTTTTACAAGGCAGCATTTATAGTCTCATCAGCCATTGCAAAGTCCCACTAGTTGAGTGTACACAACATAGATATACACTTGTGCATGTACACAGTTTATGATATAATTTTACTGACAGAATATACTTTACTTTGAGTTAAAGCTTCCAGAAAAGTATTCTGGTTTTCCAGTTTGTTAAACATTTCATATGTTTACATTAATGGGAGCAAAATATGCTGTTTACACGAAGGAAAAAAAATTCTGGGGCATTTAAGTATTGGCTTAGAAAAATAATTAACCTTACACACACTTGGTTGCGATAGTTACATTTACAAAAGCCAAAACAGCTTTTTTAAACAAGGTGAGAGTCCTTCAAAATGTAATATTTATTTTTAATGATGTAAATATAGGTTTATTTTCCTATTTTATTTCATTTTACAAATAAAGGGTGGCACACGAGTACAGAAAGGAGCCAGTATTTAACTTTCTCCTTCTCCTCTGCCGGAATTGTTTTTTCTCTGTACCATAGTTCAGTCATAACTCCTGAACCTTTTCTCCACATTGACATATAAAACTCCCTCCCATTCCTGAGCAACCCCCATTCTCATAGTACAAATGCAAAACGATCCCAATACAAAGTGCTCTGAGCCATGGTGATATTTAGACAAATTCTAAACCCTAACAGTACTGTATTGTGCTCTTACAAATTATTTAACGTAACCTCCATTATCTACTCAACCCTCTCGGCACCAGTTCTCCCTCATAAAAAAGACTTGTAAAATAGAATCATGGCCTGAATGAGGACCTAACTTTGTTATAAATAAAGGTGATCGATCTACCTATCTCAACATTACAAGGCAACTCCAGGAGTAAAACCGTAGAGACTCTAAACAAAGTAGTTCAGTGATGCGCATGTCAACTGCAAGCTCTACTGCAGCACTAATGATGGATAAACTAGCCTTGTGAACGCAGGATCAAGCACAGTGTGGGAAAGACCCCAATCTGCAAGCTTGTGCCATGGCTATCCATTAAAACTGAATAATTACAGACATCATGGCAACTTCTCAGGTTCATGCCCTCTCTATTATCACAAAAGCTGCCACTTTCAATCTATGCACCGCATACATGTTGACTTTGCTATCAGTACTGTAGACCAGACAAAGCGCTGATGACATTTCAAAAAGAACGAGACATCAATTACTGCATGGGTGTACTAATGAATGTGTCAAAGTTCACAAAGGTTTATCATTTTTGAGTGTAGACATATAATAAACATTTCGGTTAGCTTTGCGAATTAACAAATCACCTGGAATATGCCTGATCCTGTCAGACCAAAGAAGCTAAGCAGATGTGTTTAGGCTGGACATTGCTTGGATGAGTGACCACCATGCCCAAAAAGGTGTAGTAGGCAGTGTGCAAAAGACAGCAGTGCATAATAAACCATTGTTGTTCTCTACTCCTCCCACGAACCCACAGACTCGCATGGAGAAAAAAATAATAACAATAAAATTAAAATAAAGTGAATAAAAAATAATACAAATATCACGACGCTTCAATCGCAACACAAGCAATCGTCATCAGGAGATTGCTTGTGTAGCGATCGAAACGTCGTGATATTTTTATTATTTACTTTATTATCATTTTTATTATTTTATTGTCATTATTTTTTTCTATCTACGTAACTTTACAGAAAGAACCATAGAATATGAATTCCTGCAGTCACGAAAGTTTTAAGTCAAAATTCGCATGTACAAGTATGATAAATTAACCCCACTTCCCACATGGTGTGAGGTAGCCCTCATCCAGCAATGGATTGACAAACTGTACAAGTACATATAGGTTAGCTTTACACTGCTGAATCCACCACCCTGATATTGATCCAACACCGACATATTAGAGAACAGGTTACACTTGCGGTGTCTACTGATATTCTACTACCAAATACACGTCCTTTGTCTCAGTTTAATACTCCTGTCACTGTCTGAAGTAGCCCTTCGACCACACCAACCCCAAGGCACGCACTTACAGCGTCGGCAACACAGCAGGGTGGCGCAAAGGCCATGTCCGCGTCATACAAACGCGCCTCACCTCGGGTGTTGGTCGCCATGTCTGCCACCTTTTGAAACGCATCAAGAAACGCCACCACCGCCACCGTCGTCGTCCTAAATCACAGCAACAACCGCGATAAAAAAGGAAGGTTCTCTTTCTGCCACTCACAAATTTTGCATGAAGGCAGTGCACCCACTGTCCAATCAAAGTCCTAAACGCAGCAACACAACAGTATCAAGCATATTCCAACATCATAGAGAAAAACTTCACTCGAGAATGTTTGTAAAATGATCACGTGTAGGATTTTAGCAACAAAAAAGAGTCTACAGGAAATGTGCATTGCAACGTTTTGTACAACGCATGGCAACACAAGGATTCCAACATGCAGCAGCATGCACCAAAGTAACACAATAAGAACATGTGGTACCGTGCTGCGTAAAAAATGGTTTCTTTATCAATGGTATTGCACTGAACTAACCGATCAGCCAGCACTGGGAAGGATAGTCAAAAGAAGCAAAGGTTGTGGGGTCATCAACCATTGGTACAAATATTGTATTAGGAGAGTGAACCGAAACTCTTTATATAGGGGCATATGATCCTTATGGCGGTACACCGGGGCACCAAATAATACAAAATGGCCGAGGCAATTAAAATTTTTATTTCTGGGACACTAATTTTTCCAGGGGTGTACTTAACTCCTGGACTGGGGTACTAATCAATGCGAAATCAGCGCTACTCCGCGATGTCCAAACGCAGCGAGGACAAATGCGCTGAAATCCTGAATGCTCGTATGCACCATAGTGCATCGTTTACAGCTCGTCGAGATGAGTCGATTGCCACATCGCCAACCATCAACAGACTAAAAATTACTGCATCACGGATATTATGTGAGAGCCGGGGTACTATGGTACCCTGGGGTACCGCCATAAGGTTCATATATGTAACAATGAAAAAGTACAACGTTGTGCCCACTTTATTGTTTGCTGTTCTCTGTTTGTCTACTGAACTGCCACACACATCCTTGTCCGATTGCACAACTGCCAGGATATGCATGCATAGCATGCAAGCAAAAAGCTTTTTTAAAAGTGATGCATTGAGTGAACATGATATTAACTGTAAGAATTCTTCATGCTAAAAAGTTACACGTGTGATCTGGCATTTACAGATGCCAACGCTGCACTCTGATGCACTGTTTCTACAGGCTCAAAAGAAAGCTGTCTCTGGACAATGCATATATTATCAGAGTATGTTTTTTTGCATTCTGACCACAAGCATTGTGGTTAATGTAGACATGATTCCTTGTAAAAGGTTTCAGCTTGGTGTTTTAACATCTTAACACCTGTTTTGTTACCAGATGAAAGGGGAAAAACCTATTATCATATTTTGGTACTGGCAAAGGAGGTCCCATGATGTTTCTACATCATCGATTTACACCGGTCAAACCTGCCACACTTACCACGTGTGAGATTTGTCAATAATCTCTGTCATTAACATGACTATCATTTAACCCTGGGCTGGAACCTAACTCAGGGCTGATGCAATGTGTATGATTATACACCCTGAGCATCTGTTTGCTCTCTACAAAGGTGCTGACCAAATAAACTGAAAACGTCAGGGCTAAAAATGTCTGATAGGGCACTTTGTACCGTGTAATGTCAATGCATTTCTGACAGACCAAATGTTATGCGATAAGTTGGGTTGTAAAACCTCTCATGCAATTTGTGCTGCATTATGGTATGCAATTTAGCATACTTGGGAATCGATGAAGGGACAGCCACTTAATATAACATGAATCACCACAGTCCACTCCACTTCAGACTTCAACACAGATGACACGACCACACACTGCCTTCTCTCGCACATGTTTGTTCACAGGCACATGGGTGCCAAAGTAATATGAGCTTGGAAAGCGAGGGACATAACAAAGCCACGATGTTCAAAAGCCACTCTTCACATCGATGGCAGGGTACTCAATAGGCATGGCAGGGCTCGGGTTTCAGTGATGCAAGTGACCCAGTGGCTGTGAGGGCCTCACTTGCTACTGGGCTGGGAAACTTGTCAAAAGAAAACCACTTGCCTTTCTGTGTCCAATGTGAGAGGTGCCTCAAAGACTTAATTTTTAAAGGACACTTAACTATTGCCCCAGCTGTACAGAAGCTGCCACAGCAATGGCACCCATCAGTTCAACTACATTTTTTACAAGGCATTCCAGGGTGTTTCCATGAAGTAAAACTTAAATATTGTATAGTAGTGTATTTTAAAAGCCTACAGAGGCTAAGTCATAGTTTATTGCTGTGGCCGATACAGTAATTTGCTTCACTACACTTCACATTAAGTTCTACTAAATTTGCTGCCATGCATCACTTGGAAGATTTCTTTCCCATTTGGTACTCATAAGCGCAGCTAAATCATAAAGGGTGCATATGCGCTCTTACTCACCTCAACTGTGAGTTCAGCTTTGTGGCTTTGTTGACGAAATCTTCCCAAACTGGGTAGCTGCCCTGTTTTGAACAAAACATACAGAAGAATAAAATAATTGTTAGGCATATGGATAATGGCTTGAAGGGCACAGCACTGTAACTATTTCGTAACGATCTGCGGTTTTGCTGACAGATCTGGTTTCACCGGAAGGCACCTGGAGTTCACACAGAACTACCTCGATAAACCCACGTATTGTGAGAACACCTTTGTGAAGAATATGACAATGGTCTTTTGCCAGTAGTTGTGCAATATAGCAGTCAGTTGCATAGTGTAATCTATAAACCTCTTTTATTGAAACTACTATGAATTTGCCTATGAATAAATCACCTGGAATGTGCCCGACGTGGTCACATCTTAAGTCAGTTAGGGTGATCACCATATATAACATAGGTGTTAAAGGCACATTGTCGGCAGCATAGGGCAGTACAGCAGAATGTTGTAAAAGTGTACACTGCCTAAGATGTCTGATTAATATTTGTTTTTCCATCAAGTAAAATGCATGCCCATAAAATGTATGGGCATAAATATTCAGTTCAGCATAAAAAAATAAAACAGTTCCATATAACTTCCTTGAATGTGTTTTTTTTATCAAGGCTCAAGAAAATGGCCAGAACATTGAACCGTTCATGTTTCCATAACCTCCAATGGGTAAAGAAAGTGGAGGGGGGGGGGCTACATTGTGAGTCCTGGAAACTCGCAACCACGAAAACACTCACGGGGTTTACCCAACAATAAATTACTCCTACAATGAAGTATTCTTGGTCATGTTTCCAACAACGTATGGCCTCAGAGGCACTGCCATGGTGCTAACAGATTTATTTATCAGTAGCGGAGCCCTGAATTTATTAAAAATGTGAATCTATATAAAGAAGACGCAAGGCAAAAACCAAACAGCTATAACTTTGCAGATACACACCTAGGCTGTGTCTCAGACTGTCTGGCATTAGTTGGAAGCTGTATTCATAGTAAAAAAAACTATAAAATCAGTCTGGGGCACTCCAGTGATGTCACTGCGATTCACTCCTACATTGTTAAAATCACTGTATTGACAACAAAACTTGATGACCAATATTTTAATGTCTCTGCTCGTAAATTATTCCAACTGAAGTAGGACGGCTCAGAATAGACAACGCTTTAAAGAACACGTCTAATGCCACAGCATATACAAGCAGGCTATTAAGAAGCATGATTATATTCTGTTCAGAAACTAAAGATATGTTTCTTCAACATGGGAGTGGCAGCTAATTTGTTAGTCATGACAGAATCAGCCTGACCACCAGACTTTGGCATTTACAAATCAGTCGGAGAGGCCCCAAAACATTACTTATAGAAATCCAGAATGGAATACGCAAGTGAATCAAGCCTTCATAATTAGAGGCAGGAAACATAGTTTTGTGATCGTCAGCCAATTAAAATTAGAAATGTGAGATACAGATAATTACACACTTCAACATGTGCTTCAGCTTACTGATTTGTTATGCGTTTTACAAAAACTTTGCAGTCGGCCAATTTTATAATATTTGGAAGTGGGAATGCAAGCACACCTGAATTAAAAACAATATTGTGCTATTGTAATTTAGATCACCATGGTTATGTCCTGAGATGAATGACATATGCCTGCAATTGCATGCCACTTGAGCCTTAGCCGCTCTCTATTGTTAACAGACAACACGATATGAGACGTAGGCTTTCGCGACCAATATTATCCATGACTTCTGTAAGTAAAAATGCATTGGTCGTTAAACCCGCCACCACCCAACACATCCAATTAGTAAGGTTTGTCACATAAACCTTACTAATTGGCTGCATCGGGTGGTGGCGCGGGTTTAATGACACATTTATATTTATGCGATCTAAACAATAAAACCTCTATTAAGAACACAACACTAAAAAGAATGCAATGCCTCAATCCCGTACGAATCTATAGAGCTGAATGCAAATGATATTCAGCCAATCCCAGCTGCTAATAGTAGCGCGAAGAGACCAATCAATGTTGCCACTTCCGGAAGGCTTAACGATAAGCAATGAAAATGGCTCAGTGTCAGGGTTAGTGCCCTTACTGGTAGCAGCCACATAATGCTGATTTCGTGTCAATAAATCATACTAGCAGATGTAGTAGTATTAGCTATGAATGGACCCCTTTATTTAAACCCACGTGACAGCAGATCGAGATATCACCTTTTCAGGGAAACGTGGGTTTAATAATGTGGACTGTGAAGACAAGGCAAGGGTCTTAAATCAGTAAGTACGTGCTTATGTGACTCGTTTAAGCGGTAAAAAGAGCATTATAAAACAATGCAAATTAATATGGTTTGTATATTTATATGGACAGCAATTGCATGGGGGATCAGTCTGCAGCAATATGATGCTGGTAAGATAGGTTCAATTCCTGACTAAAAAAACACGAGTGGCCACTGATATCTTAATCTGGCCAACATTCCGTCCAGGTAGTTTTCAGGTAAAATAAGTATCCAGTGTAGGTTGTAGGTAAAAGCACCGTGGCGACAAAGGTGGCATTGTGTGGTGCCAGCCGCACCAATGGCTCCACTCCCCTAGAGTATTATACTGCACTTCAAAGCTATTTTAATATAGAATTTTAACCCAAAAGTCTACCTTGAACGGACAGGCATTCCTTATCTTTGTTTTATAAAAAATAAGTGGATTGATCATGGCTGATGGCAAAGATCATAAAGGTGGGCTTGTTTATATAATATATTGTTAAGCATGACCACATCAATACACCATTGAACCACACCAGTATAGTATACAGTGAGGGAAAAAAGTATTTGATCCCCTGCTGTTTTTGTACGTTTGCCCACTTACAAAGAAATGATCAGTCTATAATTTTAATGGTAGGTTTATTTGAACAGCGAGAGACAGAATAACAACAAAAAAATCCAGAAAAACGCATGTCAAAAATGTTATCAATTGATTTGCATTTTAATGAGGGAAATAAGTATTTGACCCCTCTGCAAAACATGACTTAATACTTGGTGGCAAAACTCTTGTTGGCAATCACAGAGGTCAGACGTTTCTTGTAGTTGGCCACCAGGTTTGCACACATCTCAGGAGGGATTTTGTCCAACTCCTCTTTGCAGATCTTCTCCAAGTCATTAAGGTTTCGAGGCTGACGTTTGGCAACTCGAATCTTCAGCTCCCTCCACAGATTTTCTATGGGATTAAGGTCTGGAGACTGGCTAGGCCACTCCAGGACCTTAATGTGCTTCTTCTTGAGCCACTCCTTTGTTGCCTTGGCCGTGTGTTTTGGTTCATTGTCATGCTGGAATACCCATCCACGACCCATTTTCAATGCCCTGGCTGAGGGAAGGAGGTTCTTACCCAAGATTTGACGGTACATGGCCCCGTCCATCGTCCCTTTTATGCGGGGAAGTTGTCCTGTCCCCTTAGCAGAAAAACACCCCAAAGCATAATGTTTCCACTTCCATGTTTGACGGTGGGGATGGTGTTCTTGGGGTCATAGGCAGCATTCCTCCTCCTCCAAACACGGCGAGTTGAGTTGATGCCAAAGAGCTCCATTTTGGTCTCATCTGACCACAACACTTTCACCCAGTTGTCCTCTGAATCATTCAGATGTTCATTGGCAAACTCCAGACGGGCATGTATATGTGCTTTCGTGAGCAGGGGGACCTTGCGAGCGCTGCAGGATTTCAGTCCTTCATGGCGTAGTGTGTTACCAATTGTTTTCTTGGTGACTATGGTCCCAGCTGCCTTGAGATCATTGACAAGATCCTCCCGTGTAGTTCTGGGCTGATTCCTCACCGTTCTCATGATCATTGCAACTCCACGAGGTGAGATCTTGCATGGAGCCCCAGGCCGAGGGAGATTGACAGTTCTTTTGTGTTTCTTCCATTTGCGAATAATCGCACCAACTGTTGTCACCTTCTCACCAAGCTGCTTGGCAATGGTCTTGTAGCCCATTCCAGCCTTGTGTAGGTCTACAATCTTGTCCCTGACATCCTTGGAGAGCTTTTTGGTCTTGGCCATGGTGGAGAGTTTGGAATTTGATTGATTGATTGCTTCTGTGGACAGGTGTCTTTTATACAGGTAACAAGATGAGATTAGGAGCACTCCCTTTAAGAGTGTGCTCCTAATCTCAGCTCGTTACCTGTTTAAAAGACACCTGGGAGCCTGAAATCTTTCTGATTGAGAGGTCAAATACTTATTTCCCTCATTAAAATGCAAAACATGCGTTTTTTTCTGGATTTTTTTGTTGTTATTCTGTCTCTCACTGTTCAAATAAACCTACCATTAAAATTATAGACTGATCTTTGTCAGTGGGCAAACGTACAAAATCAGCAGGGGATCAAATACTTTTTCCCTCACTGTATCGATATCCAAACCGATATCCACTACCCGTATACATTCCACAATGTGGGCACAGCTGGGAGTGGACACCATTTTAAAGTTAAAACAAATCAAACTGGTTGTAAATGTCAACAACAGATTATGGCCAAACCATCAATATTTACTTGCGTTGTGATCGCCTGTGGCCTCATAAAACAACACCGACCGTCAGTTCTGGAACAAACTAACCCCGAATGTTTTTTCCCCTAACGAGCACAACTCCAGGGCAATATCTGGGGACTTACGCCAGTGTTAATATTACACGAAGGATACAGTGAACTTTAATTAAGCAAATTGGACCAAATTATTCTTCATTAAAGTGGTCTTTGGATAAAAAAGGTCCTCGGAGGGACACCACTGACTATTATTACATCTGCTCCCAAAATTAAACAAAGTTAACGCTAAAGCCAAAAAATCTTAACATACAAAATCCGAAACAAAGGCTGTTGTTGTTACGTTTGAATACATTAGATAATATTTCAGCTAAGTGTTGAAAATGAGCCCTCTTAAATGTATCCTGGGAAAAATATGTCCTTAGCACTAACATTGTCAACATATCCACTCACAAAAACCGCCAATGTCCATTTAAATCGGTGAATACTATATTTAATCCGAGGGCTGTGAAGTCAATAAAACAACACCGTGTTTAAATACAATAACATCTGGGTACATTTCAATACAAAAACATTTTCCTTTACAAGAAATGGCTATATACATTTGGCCTAAAGCAAGTGCCAAAACCTTAGACCTTACAATCTGATTCACCGTTGCCTCGAATAGGGTGGTGTACAAGCTACTCAGGAGAAAAAAAAGCTTAAATACAACGTAGAATTGATCAAGCATAATTAAAGCATAAAAGTTATTTGATTTTCGTGGCCAAAGCAGGCCCAAATTCTTGGTCTCAGGCTGTATAATCCAAGGCAGGGCCATATACTACCATCTTTACTATTGCACTGTAACAGTCGTAAAAACCCCCATGGCATTTAAGCAAATTGCCATCCCCTTGGTTCACGGTTATAAAATAAACTTTCATTAAATTAACAAAGTGGCCAAGATTTGGGCCTGAAACTGTGGCCGATGGCCAATGTGCCCAAAATGTAAACTATTTTTTTCTATTGCTTCTAGTTCAGCCACACATTCCATTTAAATTAAAAACTAAGCAATACGTTTAGATAACTCACTGTGGCCTTCATATCAAATCCAAACAGGACAAAAATAAACCATAATTAATGAAACTGTGCCAGAATTATCCCTCTAGATGTGGCCTGAGGCCAAGATGAATAACTAAAAAGAACTAGAACACCAATAGTCTGCTCCGTTACCTTTGCTTCAGGCGCAGCGACAGTCCATTTCAATTTTAAAACAAGACTTTTACAATATGCACCGTGACGTCCACATCAAATGTAAACGCTAAAAAATAAACCTTGATTCGTCAAGTGTTCTTTAAAAAAAAGGGAGCCTTCAAAAAAACGTGGCGTGGAGCCAACACGTGAGCCCTCACGGCGACCACCACCTTCGGTTCCATCAAAACATTTGCACTGTACCCATTCTAAAGCAACAAAAACAAATAACACCTTAAATTAAACATAACCGTGGGTGTTCCTTGCGATTATTTCGTTGAGTTTTAAGCCGTTGAAATGATAGGGACCGACCTTCATGTCGTTGATGACGGCTTGGAAGAGACCCTCCAGCGCGCCGCACTGCTTCTCGATGAGCGTCTCCATAGCCCGTTATCTCAGCTCCGTTTTCGATTCAAGTAATGAGAAATAAAGAAAACGAAAATCCCCACACGTCTTCCTTCGCCAGTTGTATCGTGCTCCTGCGGTGTAATTGCTGCGGTTTTATTTGAGATGTTTTTGTTTTCGCGATTGATGCCGCGCGGCAACTTGAGGGTAGCCGCTGGCCGTTGTGGCCGCTCTACGGCCAACACTGAACAACCCCCCCCCACCACCCCAACCTCTCTCAATCCTCTCACAAAAATAAAAAGAAATGCGTCGGTTTAATTGTAAACACCGGCGACGTTCCTAATGTAACGCCAGCATGTCTGTTGTGTTTTTTTTGTTCTCCCCAGGTTAATGTTGAGGCAATTAATCCGTGTGTAAACGCGGCGACGAATGCGTCGCTGTGCGGAGAAACCGCGCGCTTTCTGACGCCAGACGCCGCGCTCGCGCGACCGCCCCCTCGTCCAACGCGAGCCGGGGTCACGTGGTGCGCCCTGGGCTGGACTGCCCCCCCCTCCATCACCCTTCCCCCGCAATCGGCCAACCCCCCCTCCACCTGCGCACCCTACCCCCTTGGGTTAACCCACGCCCCCTCAATCGCCTCGCTTCACCAATCGGACGCTATGCTCACGAATCACGTGATCATAAAACCCAACCCCCCCCTACCCCACCTTTCTCCAAAGAGTATTTCTTCCCCTTCTTTACGCAGCAATATAATCCACGCATCTTGCTATAACCTCACTCCACCAATCGGACGCTGTGCGTTAGGATCACGTGGTTCAAATAAACCACGCCTGCCACCCCTCCCTCCTCCCTCGCTCCGCCTATCAACATTTAAGCCACGCCTATTAAATCCGTCGTTCCACCAATCGAACGCCAGAATATAGGATTACGTGAGTCACGTGCCCCAAGCCTCTTCCCACCCCCATCCCCCGAATTCCAACGCAAGCCACGCCTCTCTCCTCCTCACTCCACCAATCAAACAACGCGCTCCCGGGTCCCGTGACCCGCACACTGGGTCCCGCCTTTTCAACTCAATGCGGGGGGGGGGGGGCTTTTAAATCACGTGGTCTGGGAGCCCCCACCCCTTCGACCCACCCCCCCACCACAACTTCGCCCGCAACCCCCCCCCACCCACTTTGTGTCACGTGGTCCATAAAAGGCGGAATCGCAAGGGGCTCCACCCCCCTGCGCCACCCCTCCACTCCCCAGTAAAGTGACGTCATGGCTCAATACGTCAACCTTAAGGCGTGGGGTTCTTAGGTTTCTCTAACACGTGTGTACAAGTGTATACACGGGGTTGGTCCGTGGCTTGTCATGGGAATAAGGGACCATCCATAAATGACGTCACGCACCTAGGGGGGGGGGGGGGGGCAGATATTTGTAACGATGCGTGACGAGGGGGGGGGTTGAGAAATGTGACGTCACATCAAAATGTGCAACTTTAAATATAGACAACACGTTCTAGTTAATGAAATATACTTTTTAATAAATGTTTCCTTCTAAAACATCAGAGTGCAGCGCCACATTAAATACGCACACAATGACAATAGTTTAGAGCGATTTGAAGCTTTTTTTTTGGGGGGGGGGGGCAGAGCTTTGTGACGTCATATTTGAGAGGGGGGGGTCTGACTTTTTGAGACGCCGTGTAACGAGGGGGGGGGGGGTCAAAAATCGTCCAAAATCGCGTGACATTTATGGACGGCCCCTAAGACTAATGATAAGTTATTAAAGTAGGTGTTATTTTTTTTACATAACACTGCTGGGAGTAAATTATTTAATTATACTGCGTCGGCAGTGATGCAGAAACAAATAACCAAAATCTCAACACATGCGTCAATCTCACTGCCCGAGAGGGAAACAATAGGTGACGTTTCGGGTAATGATCCTGCTCCACATAACCCTTCATGGCACGTAAATGTGGTGTGCAAATTGCGTTTTTAATTTCAGTCACACATTGGCTAGCGGACTGCTGCCTGTCCATTGTATCCATTGATGGAATTGTGGTGTCTGAAACAAAATGACTGCAATGCAGTTCTTTTGAATGAGTAGTTTCGCCTAATGCACAAGGCTAACAGCTTTTGTACGTGCAAGGCATATCTGTGTGTTAAATATACAGTAATTAGCCTGCACCCATTGTTCTGTTGTGATGGGTTTTCTCAGTTTAGATATATGTATTCCATTCTGAAAGGCACGCAAAGAGAACCAACTCCAGCCTCAAATTGCAATTCTGCATCGTGACAATATATCGAATCGTTACCTAGAAAATCGGCAGCATTTGTTTTATGGGCGGCACGGTGGCTAGGAGATTTTAACTACCTCGCATGCTATACAGGAGGTTGTGGGTTCGATCCCGATTTTGACGCCTGCTGTATATTTAGAGTTTGCGTGTCTATCTCCCCGTGGTCGAGTGGATTTTCTCCGGGTACTCCGGTTTTTCCCTCCACATTTAGAACCAAGCCTTTCCAATATTTGGCTGCTATAAATTTCCACATAGGCTCAGTGGGTCTTGGTGAAATAAAATACAAAATAGTAAAGATATTATTAAAATATATTTTCCGTTACGGTCGAGTAACACGCTCAGTGTAAAAGACTCGCAGGGGAGTTGGTGAGTGACCACATACACCCTCGTGCAGGGAGAATTAAATGTGCATTAGTGAAGACTGCCCGGACACAAATCATAAACCGCAACTCCCATCGTGAACATCATAAACCCACAGACAGGGTTACATAAAGCACTCTACGCCCGTCTCAAAGCCCATGTCACGTGCAGTAAATGTATATTCTTGAGTGATTGTTTAGAATGTTCACATTTTATGTTGAGTATCAATTTTATGGCGCCTTGAGTGGTCAGAAAGGCGCCACCGAGTACGTAAACAAAAATAAAATTGTCTTGACTTAAAAAAGGGGGGATTGTAAGATGCACACTCTCCCAATTATCTTGAGTGCAATTTGGAGTGTGCGTCTTATAATCCGTTGCATTTTTGAAAAAATCCAGAGCATACGGTAATTGTCCAGTACCCGCATCCAAGTTCTTGGAAAAAAAAGGATATTCTGTACTGTATCAAAAATTACTGGAAAAGACGAGTACAGTACCGTAATGAACTTTGAATAGAGGTACATGCGGTGGAAATGTAATAGAGTGTAACGGTCGGTGATGCAACCCGGAGATTCGGAGTAAGGCATTGGCAATTCGTCATTGTAGATATAATAAAGAGGAGACAATAGGGCAGGGGTCGGCAACCAAAATAACAAGTAATTTTCGAATTCGGTAAAAAAGCAACGTGCAAAGTGGGTGAGTATGAGACGGTGTGGTCGTTAATAAATACATTAAGTCACAAAGCAGTCCTTAAAGAGCCGCATGCGGCTCCAGAACCGCAGGGTTTCCGACCTCTGGCACGAGAGTCTGCCTGCATTTGAATCAAAGCTGCTGAAATTATGCACTCCCAAAAGGCTGGCTGATGGTTCGACGAATATTTGAAAGGTACGTGTTATTTGTTTTAATCAGAGGAGGAGGTTTTTTGATGGGTGCGACATGTGGTGCAGGGTGGAGGAGGGCAGATGATTGAGACTGGCATTCAAGTAGTAGTCCTTGGGTCAGACCAGATATCGGTACCACCCAAGGTAGCAAAACTTCAATGGTGCCATTTTATTCGGTACATATTAGAGTTGTCTTTTTTGTTTGCATTTTGACTGCTTGTGTTGTGGTTATTGCAAACATGATGCCTTGAATAAAGGTGTCAGTTTTTGTGCCAGTTAAAAGGGTAAAACCTATTCTTAAATGAGCAGCTGTTTATTTTTTCTCGCAGGAAACCTGTTTTTGCACCTATCGCAATCACGCCTATTTGCCCGGACGTTACAAATAAAACATTCCAAAACCTCTGCTGTTAATTAAGACAATGAATAATTTACAAAATGGATGTTTGTCCTCAAGGACAAACTGCTGGAAATAATAGGAACATGTTTCCAAGATGCTGGACTCCGAGATCTCTGCATTGAGTCTGGCATGATCGCAGAAGGCTCCATTCCTGGTACTATGGATGGCCACAAGTACAGCAGGGCAGTGCGAATACACAAATTCCTGTATGAGGCTTTCATGCGAATAACATGGAATGGTTTCCTGTCCTGGTTGGAAGCAACTCACATGAACGACATGGTTCACCTGGATGAGACACTGAGGACCATTGACAACCTTGGGAAAGAAGTCTCACAAGCCACTTTGAAGGAGGTCCTCGAGAACAGCTCATGTACACGCATCATGGAACTGTTTGAAGTCTACCGCGAGTTCCTCAGAGGTGTAAATGGCAGCCTCTCGACCTTCTGGACGTCCTATTTGGACATGGTTAAAATATTGGTGGAGCTTATCCGAGCATCCAGAGAGGGAGACTGGATGCTACACTTGGCAAGCATTCGAGCAATGATCCTATTGTGCTTTGCTTATGATAGGATTAATTATGCACGCTACCTCCCCTACTACTACGCCCAGTTGTCTCAGCTGCCCATCACACACCCAGATGTGTACACGGAATTCATGGAAGGAGGCTTCTCAGTTCAACTGAGCTCCACCAATCCCTTTGGCCGAATCCCTGTTGACCAAACTATAGAAGAAACGGTGAGCAAAGACAGCTGGAGGGACAAAGGGATTCAGCTTGAAGCCAGGAGCCATGACCAAATATTACCAAACAGCTGAGTACAGAAGCATGTACCTCAGACAGCTGAAAAAAACGCCACTTTTTTCAAAATTTCTTGCTGTGGTTTTCACACCCGATGATGATTGCTTGTGTTGCAGTCGAAACGTCGTGAGAATTTTATTGTTTTATATTTTTATTATTTTATTGTTTCCCTTCTACGTGACTTTACCGAAAGAACCAAGAATATGAATCCCTGCAGTCACGAAAGCATTAAATCAAAATATTCAAGTAGTTCCTTACCTCACTATGGTATTCCTTATTATCCTGTTTTCATTGTGTATTTAAACCAATAAAGACCAGTTTGTGACCTAACTGGCTTTGGTTTCGGTAGTTTTTCAGTAATAATTCACATTTCATTGTTCCAGACGTCTGTCATAGGGTATGGGTATAAAAGTCATGGTAAGTACAACTAAGCTGCCACTCCGCAAAGGTTATCATATCAGAATATGTCCCACACACCTCAGGTGGTACCAATAAGTGATTCTTTTTGTCTGGGCCCATGGACTATCGGCGCCACGGTGGCGAGATCTTAAATTCCTCGCTTGGTATGCAGGTTTATGGGTTCGATCCCAACCCTGACGCCTGTATATTTGGAGTTTGCATGTTCTCCCCATCGTCGCGTACATTTCTCTCCGATTACTCTCCACATTTCTAAACGTGCGTTTTGAGTATTTGGCTGCTATAGATTTCCACATGATAAGCCACTTCATTGGGCTATCATTTGTGGCGAGGTCGCTTCTGAAAAAGAGCTATTTAGCTGAGTGGGCTTTACCTACGTGTTGGTTCTCAGTTTCATTTTAAAGGTACTGTATGTTCATCGCAATGGG